TTTTTTTTTGTTACATTAAATGACGTTCCCTCAATTTATATATATAGAGATAATTAGTGAATAAAAATAGACAAACAATAGTATCACGTTTACTTAGATGGTTAATTTTGGCCGCATTGTTATACTATTTTACAAAATAAAATACAAATTCATGTGAATAATTCCATACTCAAATGTATTGAAAAATGACTTACATAAAAATATGATATTTTACTGTACAAACATTAAAACCTGCCTAAACATTATTGTGTAGAAACATATAACATATAGCTCAATGTTTTTTTCTAACAAGTAACAAGGTAAATCCGCAAGAAAATTGACAAGTACAACACACAAGTTATATTCTAACCATAATTTTTAAACCCGGCCCAGTAATCGACCTGGGAAGCTGGCCGAGTCACCAATTCAACCGTCGGGTCACCGGGTCAATTGCTGACGGATAATTAATTTTAATTTTTTTAAAATTATATATATAGAGTATTTATTCATATAAATATACATAAGATAACAAAATTAAATGTTTTGTATGTAAAATTTGTAGATTAAAGTGGTAATAATATGTATTTCATGATAAATATTTATCATATAAATATATATGCATAGTTTTATTATTTTAAAAACAAAAAATTAAAAATATATATAGGGACCGGGTCAATTCCCTGGGTCGAGCGGGTCAAGGTCGGGTTGGCCAGGTTTGACTGGTTCCTTTGTTGCTCGGTCCAATTAGCCCACCCGGACCGGTTATGGCTTCGGGTCGACCCGCCGGGCCGATCCGGGTTGAAAACTAACACACCTCTTGTGAGTACTTTAACCATCCCAACTTAGGCTCAATTAAGACTTAAGGGTGAATATAAATTTAATTGAGTGTTCTTTTTTTGGTTAACTATAGTTAATTTTATAAAAGTTATAGGGTTAGGTTTGAGTGAAATTTTGAGCGTGTATTAAAATAAAATTTAAAATAAAATGATTCAGTTGATTTAATGTAAAAGTATGAGAAATGTGATTGAAAGTTACAAGTAGTTAAAATTAAGTGAGTAAATGAATAGTGAATTAAAGTTGACGTTGTGACGTATAAGAAATGATTGACGATTTATATTATTTAATTATATTGATACAAATAACGGAGTTGAATTTAAGTTAGTTAAAAAAAATTGTTGAATTAAAACAACCGATTAGATATTTCTAGGCAAGTCTATACAGGAATGCTATGGAGCCATCAGATGGTTCCCTTATGGAACAATCCATAACTCTATGTATTGACACGTGTCTATTGTGTATTTATTGCAAGACACGTGTCAGTACACCATTTGTAAATGACTATGGATGACTCCATAAGCCGAGCCATCCGATGGCACCATAGCAAAACCGTATTCTGTCAATCATAAGTCCTAAATTTATTATTGGGAGATCATTTACAAGGAGAAATGTTACAGTCCCGTTACGAAACCATTCCGTCGAGATTCGTAATCGTTAGATCATCATGTAACCGTAACGAGACTGTAGCATTTCCCAAAATGAGGAGATTTTAGGGTCCCTTTACGGGACCATTCCGTCGAGATTCGTAACTGTTAAATCATCATGTAACCGTCCTGGATAGTTGATCTATCCCGGGGCCCTAGAATCTCCCCATTTACAAGTGATATTAAAAAAAAAAAAAAAAATGTGTGAACTGTGAAGGTTTGATCCAGCTGACCAATAAACTGTCCAAATTTGTTGAGTTACTGGTTTAGTTACATCTCCCTTCAATCAAATCCTATCCAATCCAAATCATTGTTTTTGGCACAAACACTTCAAAGAAAACAGCACAACACAACCCCCAGTTTTCCTCACTGAAAACTGTTTCTGTTTAAACAGCCAGTCACAATCTACTTGCTCTGTTTGTAACTCTGTCTTAGACCCCACACAAACCTCAGTCTCAGATTCCAGCAAACCTCACATGAATGCATTGCAGCCCCTTTCTCCATTTGCATTAAAATAATTACATTTTTAGTTCTTTAGCTATCAGTTGTTGGGAGGTTAACAGATTTCCACAGCCCACTCTTTAATGCCCACCACCACACTACTGCACACACTCTTAAAAACCCCTCATCACTTAGCACTTTCCATCTCTCAAAAACAGAGGAAGATGAAAACAGAACATCTCTTTGACTACTACAACATGTCCCTTCTTCTCTTCCTCTCCCTCCTACTTTCACTCTGCATCCTTCGCCGGAGCTTCCTCTTGCGACGGCATTGCTACCTCCTCGACTACGAGTGCTTCATGCCCTCCGACGACCGGAAACTGAGCACGAAACTCTCCGGCGAGGTCATTCGCCGGAACAAGAACCTCCGCCTCAACGAGTACAAGTTCCTCCTCAAGGCCATCGTCAGCTCCGGCATTGGCGAGGAGACTTACGTCCCGCGGACCGTCCTCGAGGGCCGCGAGGCGGACCCAACTCTCCTCGACGCCCTCTCCGAGATGGACGAGTTCTTCCTCGCGAGCATCGGGAGATTGCTCCGGCGAACGGGCATTTCCCCGAAAGAAATCGACATCCTCGTCGTGAACGTGTCCATGCTGGCGACCGTCCCGTCTCTCGCGTCCCGTATAATCAAC